AAAAATGTTTTCCTTTTGCTCAATTGTTAAGAAATAAACAATGACATATAGGTAACAAATTAAACAAGCAAAATGATTGTTTTTAAACGAAATGTTTTTAATATGTATAAAATGTAACCCTACCCCACCCACTTCTAACACTAAATTTGACCATTCCCTATGTAAAAAGCCTTATTTAAAATATCCCTAAAATTTTCAAAAAATGAGGGGCTATTTTCAAGTTTGCCTAAATTTTCTTTAATGTATATTGCTTGGTCTTGCAAAATATAAAATACTTTTAACCGTTTAGTTTTTATTTTATTAAAACTTTGAAAATATCTGGTATCATATTTGCTATTAAATTTGGCATTATTTAATAAATAAATACCTACAATAATTATATAATTAAAATAAAACACTTTTTTCTTCCATAGGGGGTCTGAGAGGTTAATAAAAAATGTTAAAAAGAAAAAAAAGAAAGAAAAAAAAATTGCCCCTTCTGGGGTTTGAACCCACGCCCCCTCAGTTTCAATACACTTTACAGTGATTTTAGCCTATTTGGATACTCTTCAAAGTGGAGACAGTGCATTAGGGGTGTACTACCTTAAATTAAATTCGTTTTTAATGTATGCATTTTGTGACCATTTGCATTTTGTACACGTATTAAATAGATAAAATTACATATTAATCATAAATTTTAAGATTGAATGGTAAAAATCTGGATAAAGTGTGATCCCTCAGTAGCATTAATCACAACAAAATTACAAATGTCATGAATATTGCAGACTCGGTACAATATTTTTTATCATCTTTGAAACGTGTAAATATTGTGAAAAATTTTTTATTGACATTTTCTGCAGTGAATATTTATAAGCAATAAAGTTCCAGTCAAAACAATAAATTTTAAAATTATATAACTAATTATACTAATATTTAAAGGTGAACACAGTGGTGTATTTATTTTCTTACTCCTGCATTCACATTACGTTTGAGAAGCTTTGTCTTTGTCGATCAACAGTTCATTCTCTAACAACTGTACACCAGTAATAATTGCATATTTTCCATAGTGACTTCAGATATGTGTATGATTCTACGTATGTGTGAATTGTACGAGTAAAATGATTATGTACTTGTTGTACAACTCGTAATGAACTGCTCTGGTCTGTACTAAAAATATGAAGACATTTTTTTTGACAGGTTTATAATTGAAAGCATAAGAAAATCATCATTTGGTGTTCGTGTTATACTTTAAAGGCTAAAAACCTGGGAAATATAGAATATTCTCATACTGAGATTTCTATGAAAACATAGATGGTAATCAAATGCATTGTGGAAATTGGTGGCTGTCCTACAAATTAGTTCAACATGATTTGCACACACCCTTTCTTTCAAGTATCCTATGAAGAGTAAACCCTCAATTTTAATGTCGAAACAAGACGATTGTTGCCCTTGATTACCGGCTCACACCTGTCGGCAATACCCGATTAACTTAATTATGTCCAATTCCGTATTGCTTCTCAATCGGTACTCAGGAAGTGGGCAGCCCATTGCATGCTGGGTAACAGACTGTCACCTATGTTTGTTTACCTTTCCGCGGGACCTGTATTTAAATATCCGCTGAACCTAAATTTTACAAATTTTCAATTTGCGGAGACAAAACCTCATTTGATGGTATCTTGAATGCACCCTGACAGATAGACAAGTATTTCGATGACATTTCACAGCTCTGTCATGTAATTTTTATCAGATATAACAGTTTCAATGTAATTGTGTATTATTTAGTGTCCAATGGGCAATAAGTGTTTTCGCTGCATTAAACACTAAGTAACTTAAACACCGCTATGTTGACAATCACATACTTCACGATACACGGAACATATCTGTTTTATGACATATAATGACAGAAGTTTAAATTATAAAAGATTTAAGCAGATTGATCCGATATCATTTCTATAACATAAACGTTCTATTTTACTAAAATAAATCAAAATGGAAACCTTTAAGATCGCTGTAGCAGACTCGGTTTGATTGAGCATGTTCAGAGACGACAGTGCATGCCGTCCACGTCCTTTAGCACCGACTTGAGCAACGTTCAGCATTGAAGCATTAAGATAGAAAAAATTGCTTTAGTTAAGAAACCTCCGCAGATGTGTTGATGCAGCAATGTGATCATGGAACTTTCAATGTGACACTTTTGTGTCATTCCATGAAAAGCAGCGTAAGCAAGCAAGGCTATATTCTCCCATATATCCAGTTAGCAATTTTGTATAACGAATTTATAATAACGCAAACTGTTAGTGACAAGTTCATAACAAAACCCCAGCACTTTTAGTAGGTTTACAAAGAAGCGCGGGAAAAAGGCGCACGTTAATATGATGTTAAATGCTACGCGAACGCTGCGCAATAAAAAGTAATTCAAGTATAAAGTCATCATAGCGGTGTATTTTTATATATTTTTTGAAGTAACATTTGAAATTTGAATCAAGAAATATACCATAAAGAACAATACGCAATAATATATTTTATGCACACGTCAACGATGCAGAAATACATTGTAAATTGTGCGCGCTTCGGTTCTTAAAACTATTTTCGCCAATCAAAATTCGAGAAATTTATTTTCATTTGTGTAAAATGTTATATACACATGTTTATGAGCTTCACGCAGAGGACAAAAACTGTCATACTGCTGTTACTATGGAAAACCATGATATATTCTTAGTAGAACAATCGTTAACCTGTTCACCATAGTTTCATTACAAAGAATGCTGCATCCTCTAGTATTATTTCGACATATGCCTCATTCAATAAGCAATTTGCAAACATGATGGGTATGCTAGTGTAAAACTTTTCACCGTTCTTTCAGTGACTGGACCGTCTTGATCTTTATTTTACCACTGCTTATTGTTGACTTTTCTCTGGGGCTCTTGAAAAATCATAAAATCAAGTCACATTACCAGTAAGCATTTCAGAAAATCGACGTTATAGTTTTTGTACCTCATTAAAGAAGACGTCGTTATCTTGTCCAACTGATGAAGCTGATCCTTTAATACACCGCATAAGTAAGAATGTCTACATATAGGCCTTTATTTTACCATTGCGTTCAGGATGACTGGCTGTTTTATTTGAGTAGGAACCATACTGATTGAATTACTGGAGGAAAAAGTTTGCTTTGCCTTTAAAAAATTTTTTATACGATTGACTTTACGTTCACAATCAATTTTATGTATTATGTTTCAACACAAACATTAGAGGAGTTCATTAATATAATTATTATGGGAGCATAATATCCTATTGAGAAAATACATTCGACGCTGTTTGTGTGCCAATAAATATTCTTATTATAACTTGGTATTTGACTGTGTGTTTCTTTGACTGTTGGGTGTCTTACCGATTGTCCTTTGTAGTAAGGTGTTGTTGGGCTGGGTTTAATTTATGATGCTATTTCTTGTTGATCTTTAATTGTTTTCACTTTTTTCTAACCATATATTTAGGCACCCTTATTTATCACTTAAATTTGGTAATATTATCATTTTTGTCGACATGCGAATAAGTTTTGATGTTTGCCTCAAATCTGCATATTAATATTGTTCTAGAAATTTGTTTGGCATAGTTCTAGATTTATATCATTACTCCAATATTATACCGAAAAAAATAATTTCTGACCAAAATGTCTCTTACAATAGTTTTGCTCTGCGTTAGTTATAAGTATGGGCTTATTTATATTGATGGTAAAAAGTTTTCAGTGTTCTGACTTTTTACTCTTTTTTAGCGTCATTTGTCACTACAGCAAGGAGTATTCACTTATTTAGAACATATAACATTCAATAATTTTCCAAGAAGATATACCTTCACTTACGTTATAATTAAGTTTTGTGTAATCTGGAACTAGAAGATTTGAGTATTTTGGAACCCTAGTTTCTACAACACATTATTAAAGTAGATTAAATTCTAAGAATGTTATATGTTAGGCATTAATCATACTGATGATAAAAGTTACAAGATGAATGTGGGAAAAAATGTAATGTTGTAGATCTATACATATACAGTCTACTACAGTCACATATACTCAAATATTCAAGTATAAACAATGTTTTTACTTGTTACTATTTTTAGTACTAAATACTAAAAAAAAAAAAATTATATTTTTTACTAGCACTAGTGACTACGATGGGTATTTCAGACTAGTTGGAAATCACCTAATTGATGTTAACATAATTTACTTCCGCCACACCTGAAATTGAAATTATTACAGGTAGTATTTACAACGGTGCACCGTTATAATGACAGATGCTTGTCAAATTGGAATTAATTAGTTATTATTTGACTTTAAAATGCTTCTAGACAACCAGAAGATGGCTGCTAACATCCAGTTTGAGAGATGGACAGCCGACCAAGTTGCAGAATGGTTACGAGGTAAACAAAGATGCGCGTATAATGATTACCGATACTTTGCTTCCTTGTCAAGAACCGTCCCCATTATTTTTCGTACCAATGTTTATAAGATAAACACTTCTCTGTAACTTCTCAAAGATAAAAGTTATGTGTTTTTTTAGTTCGACATTTTAATTGAACGAAGGCAAAGCCTATGAACTGCTTAGAGGTACCGGCCTTTGACTTCTCAGTATAATTATATGAACACTGATGAAAGTACAGTATTGTAGCCTATGAAATTATGGGGAAATCAGATAAAAAAAAAATATATTTTTACATTTTTTGTTTTACAGGCATCATTCTGTATTTCATGCACCACTTCCTTTTTCAATCAACACACCTCGGTAATTATTTTCAAAGCAAAAAGTTGTGATTGTACCATTATTGGATACACTGATTATCATTGAGTTACATTTAAAAATGGCGGCGCCCAGCTTGAAATGACACTAGGTTAAAATCTCTATGTTTCAGGTCTGGATATGGATGATGCCATGATTCCATACATGCACTATTTCCTCAACAGTGGAGTAGATGGCAAGAAGTTGATGTTAATGACACATGCTGATTTGGAGAAATTAAATGTGACAAAGTTTGGTCACCAAGAACTCATCCTTGAAGCTATTGATCTACTAAGAAACCTTGTAAGTTGAATCTAAAAAATCCTATTGATTATCAATTATATATCTGCGTCAAGGTGATAAGGTCTTAAGATATAAAATAGTCATTATGTAAACAAGGAAGGTATGAAGAACCACCAGGGCTCACACTGGCTCAAATAAAATAATAGCCAATATTTTCAACTTAAAAAAATAATAGCCAAAAGTTCAGCGGACTATACACGAATTAGCGATTAACAACATAAGCAGTTGATTAAATAAACATTACATTTAAATATTTATAAGGATTCTCAAATAAACTGACACATTTGTGTATATTGATAACTACCTTTTTTTAAATAGAACCACAACTTTAATTGTTATTATAGAACAGAATAAAAACGTTATAATTAGTATAATTACTGTACAACAATAATATTAAAGATTCATTATAACTTTACATAATGTTGTTATCAGACAACTTTTTTTGTTTGTTCTACTCAAATTTTGTCAGCTATAACCACTGTCAATTTCCACATTTCACACAGAACTGGAGTAGATCTAGGTCATATTAGCCTATAGAAATAACACAAGTTTGCAAACTCATTCACAGAATGCAGCCTTTTTTCTGAATAATTTACTGAAAAATATCATCATCACCAATGAAATACAAATTTTCTGCCATAGTAGTAAAGATTTTTAAACAGAACATAGCTTATTTCACCTTTAAATAAATATCAAAATTATCGGTGTCGCGAAAATATGTGACAATCGGATTTTTCCTGTTTTCTGAAGAAATATTCACAATTTTGGTTGTTGTGCAAATAGTTGTTTGGAAGTTTATACTTTTTAAATATTTTACCATTGTTTTCCACTGGCGATTTAGTTAAGTAGCTTAAAACAAAAAAATAACAAAATTTGCAATTACTGCAATTCACGGTAAATTTTGGGTAAGTCAATTTCCAGTTTATCAATTTTAAAACGATTTTTGTGGCTAATTGACGGATATTTGATGGCTATTATAAATGCTGGACAATATCTTTAAAGTACTTATACAATAATACATCTCGCATGTATTTTATCACCTCGGGCAATATAGTTAGCAGCACGTGACCGGTAAAAAGTTGACACTCAATTAAATGCACCCTGCTGGTGTTAATTGGGTCTACTGCATTCATTATCGATTTTTACACCTTATATAAACACTGTTGGAAGTAAAATATAATCGCCAGATTTTGTAGCCAAAATGCAAAAATAATCGCCAATCTTATAAAATAATCGCAAATGGCGACTATGGCGACCGACAGCGTGAGCCCTGAACCACATTGCACACATAAATAAAAGTTAATAAAGTTACACTGTCATGTGAACTTTTTTGGTTGTCTGACACATATAAATATAATTTTGTGTTTCTATAATTTGATGCCAATTGAAAGCTATTCCGGATGTTTAGGTAATTTTCATTGATTATTGATTTATTAACGCTCCTTTGACTTTTGTGTAAAATATATTTATTTGGGTTAAAATTTTATTTTGTAACAATTAAAAAAATAATCTATAATATAATCAATATACATGTATGTGACTAGTTAAATATATTCTAAGTCATCTGTTCAGGCAAGTCTATAAGTTTGTAGCTTCCTACACAATTGAATTGAAATAAATTCTGTATAAAAGTTATCTGATTTTTGCAGAGATATGGATACGAGACTGAGAATTTACAATCGTTAGCTCTTCAGTTGGGTTGTAAAGCTCGCAGTCTGAATGGCGATGTACGTGCCCGTACTGGCGAGAATGACCGTAATCGTGCTAACACAACACATCATTCTGGTGACAATCATAAACGTTTGTCAGTGGGGATATTGTCATCTGTTGCTGATCTTGTTGCTACATTAAAGAGCTTGGTGGGCTGGATGGATAAGTAGGTTCACTTAATAGTAAATGATTGTCTATTGTCAAATCATAAATATTTCAAATACTATTTACATATTTTGAACATTTAAAAAAGGCTCTATCATTAATTAATTCCTAAATTTATCTACTTATTTTTACTAATTGATTGATTGATTGATTGATTGATTAATTGATTGATAGTCATATTTTAAGTTGAACACCAATTTTCATCAGTTTTTGACTTCTAGTCAAATTTATGATTACATTGCAAATTGTATCAATTGAGATATTTTAGAATAACTGAAAATGTCAATGTAAACTATTATAATATTGATTACGTAGTATCTGAACAGTCAAACATTTATTTTCCTTTGTAAAATGTTTACACCAAATTACGGCAATAAAGGAAACAAAATAGTTATGATATCTCTCAATTATGTAGAAATAAGATAATTTGACTTTGGTTGGATTTTGAAATTATTATGCCTAAAATTCTAAAAAAATATTTTAATATGTTATAAATTATATACTATCATTTGACTTTCAGGGCACCATTTAGTGGTTTTCATGATCTTTGCCTGGTAAGAAACACTATAGTGAAACTCGGACTTGACCTGATCAACATGTGTCAAAGGGAGGCAACCATACCAGACATAGAGTTAAACCTGACTACTACTGTAAATATTGTATACCTTTATCCATCACTTAAAATAATTCATAATGAAAGGTTATAGAAAATTTTAAGTGTGCACCCATATATACAGTTTGCTCAAGATAACATATTTTGTTTGGTTTAAAGCTTCACTTGATAAAGGTGTTTAATCTGCTGGCAGCCACTGATTCTACCCATGTGAATAGTGTAGACCAAGATCAGCCAGCACGTTCCACCATGCCATCCGATTATGATCTGGACGCTTTGCTACTCAGTCAATTCAGTCAGTTCTAATTTTAAAGGTTTTCCTAAAAATGATGAATGGTTTTGTTCAGAAAGTCCATTTAAGATTTTAGCATAGTGAGGTTAATATAAGTCAGTAAAATATTTTCTAACATAGACAGTTTAGTTAATAATTAATGTGATTATCAAGAATATTTAAATAAATAATGCTCAGGCACAAATAATGTAGACTCTAAAATTTAATGTTTAAATGTTGATGGTCATTTTTGTACTTCAGACTAAAACATTATCAGACATTTGTGAGAAGATTGTGATTGGTTCCCCAGAAAGTCACCTGGACCCCCTGTATCTACAGCCAGCATCACTGGAACAGGCAACCATCAGGAAAAAGCAAGGAGAAGAACTGGTGAGATTACTTTATGTCCTTGAATTGCAGGACTAGAAATTTTTTGTACTTGTCCTGCAGGGCAAGTGGATACAAAACACCACTCGCCCTGCAATATAATACTTGTCCTGGGCACAAACATAGGTTAACCTAATTTGGATAGCTTTTGACTAATGAATAGGTGTAATAACATGATAGTAATAACTTTTATTGTATTTATTTGAATTTTCATAGCATTGTTTTATTGTAAAACAGTTGACATTTCAATGTTTCGTAGTTATAGACAATAGCGGGGTATGATAAGTAGCCATTACGTTATAATGTAATGGTGAAATACTATAGTAGATATTGATTAAAAAAAATAATGAAGCAGTAAAGCATTTTGATTGAAGAGAAATTTATTATGCCCCCACTTCGAAGAAGAGGGGGTATATTGGTTTGCACTTGTCTGTCCGTCGGTCCGTAGACCAAATGGTTTCCGAGTGATAACTAAAGAACCCTTAGGCCTAGGAACTTCAAACTTGGTATGGTGATTGGTCATGACCAGTAGATGACCCCTATTGATTTTGGGGTCAAGGGGTCAAAGGTCAAGGTCACATTGACCTTGTAAGCATAAACGGTTTCCGATCAATAACTAAAGAACCCTTAGGCCTAAGAACTTCAAACTTGATATGGTGATTGGTCATGATCAGTAGATGACCCCTATAGATTTTGGGGTCAAGGGGTCAAAGGTCAAGGTCACATTGACCTCTTAGGTAAAAACGGTTTCCGATCAATAACTAACAAACGCTTAGGCCTAGGAACTTCAAACTTTGTATGATGATTGGTCATGACCAGTAGATGACCCCTATTGATTTTGGGGTCAAGGGGTCAATGTCATATTGACCTTGTACTTAATGATGGTTTCTGACCAATAACTCAACAACTCAAGTTGCCTTGGTTGATATTTTTTAAATTAAACTAAATTTAATGCTTTTGGTATACACATTTGAAGGTCTTATGTAATATAACACCTTGGCTGTCATTAATGAGGCTTACATGATTCATAAAATTTATGCATATATTATTTGGTAAGATTTGTAATAACTTAAATTGCTGCACACAACCTATGGGGTCACAATAATTATTACCTTGTGACTAGTCATGACCGGTAGATACTAGATAACCCTTATTAATTGTTTGTTCACTGGGTCAAAAGTCATGCATAATAACCTGATCACATGACTAATTGGCTGCCGATAGGGGGCATACATGTTTTACAAACATATCTTGTTAAAATGTTATTTTATAAGTTGTTACTCTCTATATTTTTACTATAATCTAAGAGACATAAAAGTTTCCGCACATATTTTCAAGCAGCGTGACTATTGGACTCTACTGTAATTTTGTCTGTGATTTAACCATGACCCAAAATAAATTTCATTTTACAAACAATGTTTCAATTATATATACCGGTATATATATAACTTACAATTAATGTTTGTTTTACAGGGTATGCACATACAATCATCATACTATGGTGTCCATGTGATCAGTGGAATAAAAGATATGGTAAGTCTAGATGACAAAGAAAACGATATGCTAACAAGTGGTTGATGCTATAGGTGTAATATAAGGTCAATGGACCTTCGACTGGCGTCCATGACCTCTACATTTGCTTTTTCTGAGACAACTTTGTTGATGACAAAATGCTTTATACATCTTTATTGTTTCATTCTGAGAAATTGGCAGGAAATGGCAGAGAAACAGGTTTACAACATTAGTATTCAGGAGCTCTTGCTAGTCAAAGCTACAATATTACTGAAAAACTGTTGAATACTTACAAAATAGTCATAACTAGCAGATTTAGAAACTATACAAGAACAGTAATTAGAAACAATTTATTTAAGAAGTTTGATTTTGGCCAACATCAGAAGGCAACATTCAAGTTTGTAAAGCATACATTAAAATTTTTATAATATTCATATTCTATAAAATGAAGTATATTTAACTTGATTCATTTTCAGTCACCAGCAGATTTATGTGGTAAAATTGAGAAAGGAGATGAGGTGATACAGGTCAATAGTCAAATTGTGGTAAGTTATCTCCCTTTAATCTGGACAGATATAGCATTAGACTGCATATTAAAGTTTACTGGTTAAGAACAGTTCAATAGAAAAACTAGTTAATGTTCATTAATTGCAAATGCTCAAAGTATTACCATACTTGTTCCTTTTTTTATCTAATCTAACATTATGATGTCCATGTTTCAGTTAAGAAATAGTGCCTTTGTTGTCAGAAGATAATACTAGTTGTAATCATTTGAAGTGTTAAGCTAACAGATGTTTTTTTTGTTTGAATTATCTTCTAGAATGATTTGTCTATAAATTTACTCAATTATTTTGTAACTATTTATATTTGACATTTTAGGCAGGGTGGTCACTGACAAAACTTGTCAGTCTGCTGAAAGAGAATCCGAAGGAGGTCATTTTATTATTGAAGAAGCGTCCACGTCATATTAGCCCTTACGGACAGATGAAGAGGCCAAACATGATAAACAAACATACAACAGATTTCTCCACTCTACCTAAGTCAATAAAGAAAAGAAGGTCACAGAATGGCGAGGCCAAACAACTACGACCTTCTCTACAAGAGTTTGTCAACACAGTACCTAGTAATGAAGAGACAGAGGAACTGGATTCACCAAAGTATGTTATATTTTATTCTAATACTACAAAATGTTTTTTTTTCCTTTGCCAAGACCATGGTAAACTACTGACATTTAGTCAAAAAACCAGATTTTTGGTCAGAGTCAGTGATTTTTCAAACTGACAGACTGTAATGGTGAACTTTTGTGATGGCATGTTGTCTGAAGGCTATGCATCCATCTGTACAGTAATTTCATGTCCACTCACTAGCAGTATATTATGTAAGCAGTATGGATTTGCATGGGAAAAATGGCAAATTTGGTATACTTTCAGGAGTAAAAATCCCATTTGTACGTCTGAAATTGAAGTGTTAAATTACTTGGTTTTTTTGTATATTATATATGTTTTATTTGATTTGAACAGTCATGCAAAAAGCTTTTATCACCAGAAGATCATTCTACATATTACATCATGTTGTCATTATTGGACCAATAACTTTAGAAGGAATAGGCTGCATGTTATGTTATGTATGTCATGGACTTTGCTCATCGCTAGTAGATTACCCATACTGATTTTAAAGTAATAAAGGCCAAAGGTCAAGGTCGTAGTGATATTTGTGTAAAATCTTCATACAATCAACAACTTGAGAAGGAAAAGGTCATAAGTTCTGTTGGTATGGGCATTGCCCATGGTCGGTAGACAGGTCACAGTGACAGTAAATTTCTTGTTGAGTTCTAGATTGGAAATATGACTAAGTACTAGACCTCATTGCTCTTTGTATTGTTAATGAAGATGGTTAATACTTGGACAAAATAACATTTAGCACAAAACCTTACTATTTTTCAAATTTTAACTGAACATTTTAATGCCCTAGACCAACTAGACTCTTAGGTAATTAGTATTAAAGTAATTTGAATAAAAGAAAATGGGCATTGAGGTCCTTAAAGCTAAGGTATATGTGGATAAACTATTCATCCTAACATCATGTAAAGCTGCTGTCAATGATATGTCAACCAATCTGATCCCCTAAAAGATTCCTGAATTAGATAGAAATTGTTTGCAGTATCAACATCAAAGATGTGTAACAGTAACTTTATACCACAACTTAAATCTGGATAAAGTGTGATCCCTCAGAAGCATTGATTTAGCCAATGATAAACATATGAGCATCATGGCCCTCTTCTGTTATTTAAATCCTCGTCTTTTTGTTGGGCTAATATTGTCATCTAGTCAACAACTATCACCAGGCTCAAAATCTTTGACAAGTTAGACAAGCAGAGTACCCTATTCATAAAGAATAATTACAATTTCTTCATGGAAATGAAAAATCACAATTTTTTCTTATAATAAAAATATTCACCTTAATACTTTTCTGTTTTGTGCATATAATTTCATAGCTAACATTTTATTTGATCATTGAAGAGTAAATCTCGCAGAATGCTAGGTAAAAAAGGGTGTAAATTTGTTTGTGATGGCCATTCATAAAATTGTTCAATAAGTAGAGGCATTTTATTTTAATAGTCTAGAAAAATAATAATCATGACTTGGGCATATTCACCAACTAAACAGCTTCTATCTTTGGTGATCTATGGAACAGAATTAATGCATTTATTCCATCTTGCTTTATGATATCGGAACTTACATTATGCTTGCTTCTATACTTCTTTATGACAATGAAAACCTGCGTTTTGCTGAATTCAATCATGCCTTATGATTACTGAATGCACTTTCATGTAATTGCAACCTTGTGTGTTCCCTACTAAACCATCAAACTCACATATTTTAATATGCTATATGTTTAATTGCATCTTTTTTTAAGGACAACGTATTATGTTTGGTGTTTAAGATAACATTCTATATAACTATATGTAACATGGTAGTTGTATCTTTAATTTGCTATAAATCTGCCACTTATATTGTCGACATTATGTCAAATTAAATTATTCATTTTGATCAATAATTGGCTGATTTGATGTGTCTTAGCATTCATATGCTTCAATATATTCACTGATTACAAATATAATGCAATACATGATCACTGCGCATCGACAACGAAGATGACAACGATAGCGATATTATAGTCGCATGTGACAGTACGCACTAAGCAGTTGGCAGTAAGCATAATGCGAGTTGCAATAATTTGTGTTCATATTATGACAGCAGGTGTCGCTTTGTCGGTACATCCCGTTATTTTCCGGATGATCCCGTATTTTGGCACGTGGAGTAAACAAAAGTTACGTCCACTTTATATAGGGGCGTATACAGAACAGTGTTGGTTGGGGACTGACATGTAAATTTACTAAAAAACAAGAGAACACGATGCGACAGACGAAAAGTGCGTGTTTTTGAAGATTCCGCCAGCATGTGGAAAAAAAAGTTATATATGTCTCTAATAACTCATCCTACAAGTGGCAACTCACCTCTTATACAATTGTTTACACTTCTTTTTGAGCGTGTGTGATAAGTGAAATTGAATTTTATCAAACTTAAGGTGGCACGAAGGTGACATGTGTGTGTTTTTATTTATCTCGTGCGCACGAGATACTGTGGCCACGTGTTACTAAGTCGTGGCCACGAGATAGTTAAGTCGTGGGAACGAGATACTATGTTGTGGCCACGAGTTACTAAATCGTGGCCACGAGGTAATTAAGTCGTGGGAACGAGATAACTTAGTCGTGGCCACGAGTTACTAAGTCGTGGCCACGAGATAAATAAGTCGTTGGAACAAGTTACTATGTCGTGGCCACGAGAAAGTTTAGTCGTGGCCACGAAAAAGTTAAGTCGTGCGAACGAGATAAATAACCAATCAAATTACACTATTTATATGAATTTTCCTAACAAGGATGCCCCTACTTCACTTGTCCGTAAAAGTGCCCTTTATACAAGTTATTGATTGGTCAAAGATTTAGCGTCATTGTACCCTGATTTCTGACCAAATTGCCTAAAAATTATTAGGTGTCATCTACTGATCTTTTTAGGTTATATAAACTACGGCTTATTCTTTCTAAATCATTCATCAGACAAGGATTTTGCATGAAGTGTCATGTTTATCTGACCTGTGACCTCAAACATCCTTATAGGATATCTACTGTCCATGGGCAATGTCCCTTCCCAATAAAATAAAACCAGGACTAAGTCCCTCTCAAGTTATGGTATAAACAATGTTAACAGGCCTTTGTACGTACAAAAATGACCAATTCTATCATAGAATTGTCCCAACAAAGGGCCATAACTAAAGAGATAAATAAAAACACACACATGTCACTTAGTAACTCGTGGCCACGACTTAGTACAGTACAAACTTGATTTTTTTTTGTAAAATAAAATAAATATAATTTGGCTTCACACAAACATTGTGCTTTAAATACTTTACACTGTAATTGGGCAGTATGAATATTCATGTATAGTGTTATTACAAAAATATATATGGAAGTTTCTTTTAAAGACAGGCACAACTTTACTTGACCCGTAATAAGGAAAGTAGATTCCTATACATTATGTGTATGTGTTTTTATTTAAAAAGAACATATTTAGTAAGAATTTTATAGATTTCAATAAATTTCTGTGATAAAAATATATTACTGAAAGATGTGCATAGTATATCTTTAAGCACAAATGTATGTGAATGTGGCGGTGTGTGTGGGATGTATGATCTATAATCAGACACACATATGCCCAACATTTGTAATTGACTATGCACATGTCACAAAAATAAACAACTTCCTTCTTTCCTTATTATACATGTATATTTTAATGTGTTACATACCTATTCGCCACTATTAGTGACTGAGACATTTATTAAGTTAAAAGGCCAATTAATAAGTTTTGCTTTTCAATGTCCAAGCCATTAGATAAAGACCTTCGCAATCGTAGGCAGGTGCTTAACAACTGGATGACAGCATTATATGTTTTGATAAGGGAGTATACTATGACCACTATTGCATGAAACTTACACGTATATATTCCATCCCAGCTCATCAACGTATCTTTGGGGGTAGGTTGCAGCCCTTAAGCAAGGCCTGAATCCGCCACTGTACGTATAACTGCCCCATTGAACAAAACTGTTTACGAGCATATTTTTTCTATTAGACTGTATAACATATACATGTATAAAATTATATTGCATAATCCTTACTACTTGTATTTATATTCTTTCCACTGCAATTTATGTATTAAGCGCTTGGTACGTATTTATAGCATTGTCCCCCCTCTGTATTTTAACGTATAACCACGATGGCCCTAACGGTATTCCGTAATATATACATGTACGGAAAATTCCGATGATAGGCGAATCATGGAAAAAATCCGTTGATATAGAACAGAGTTCTCGCCCCTTAACAGTTCACAAATCGCTAGACATTGTTTAAATTGTTTATCATAATGTAAGATGATCAAACATAATCCACAAAGCCTCAGACACCGAGCTTTATTAAGCATAAACACTGAATAATGGATATAAGCGAAAGCTAGTAGTAATCACGCCATGCGAGCTGTAAATCAAATAAGTCCCATTTTAACAAAATCCATCAGAGAACAAAAATAGTCAATTTTAAATGACTTCTACATAAAAGTAATACAAAAAAACTAAACCGTTAATGGTTTGTATAGAGCATGAAGAAAGGTAGCTTATACATAAGGTATAAGACGTTAACATTTTAGTATTCCAAATGGCTTGTTCCAGTTTAATAGTTATCACTCAATGAAAGAATTGGTCACTACGAAATGTTTGAATGAAATAATGAAAAATGGAATCCAGAATAATGCAACGTTTAAATATCATAAAGCAAGATGGAATCAATCATAATGCAAGTTCTAATGTCATGTAGCAAGATGGAATTAAGCATAATGCAAGTTCCAATGTCATCAAGCAAGATGGAATCAAGCATAATGCAAGTTCCAATGTCATCAAGCAAGATGGAATTAAGCATAATGCAAGTTCCAATGTCATCAAGCAAGATAGAATAAATGCATTAATTCTGTTCCATAGTGATCAGACATCAAGTATCCCTCTATCAATATTCTATGAGAATCAGTCAGTCTGCTTATCAATAGTCAGCATTATGTAAATACAGTTATAAAACAGACTACCACATACGGTTTTTATACTTGGATAAAGAGAAGCGATGTGAGGAAAGTTTGTTTAGTAAACTAACAGTGCTGATATACTAAAACTTGACCTTGGACTTCTGTGTCTTTGTTTTACCATGAGACCACTGTTCCCCTTAAGAGTGAGCTGCTTATTTTATCAAGTAGCCTATTTGAATAAAATATGTGTTAAATGTTTTATTTACTATTTGAGCCGCGTCATGACAAAACCAACATAATGTGTTTGCGACCAGCATGAATCCAGACCAGCCTGCGCAGCCTGATCAGAAACCATGCTGTTCGCTTACAGACCCTATAACAAGTAGAGAAACTGATAGCGAACAGCATGGATCCTGATCAGATGCGCAGGCTGGTCTGGAACCATGCTGGTCACAAATGCATTATTTTGGTTTTGTCATGGCGTGGCTCATTTATTTAAGCTTGATTGTAACAAAAGCTTGACACTTAAGTCATTCACATGCTTCTTAAACTAATCAGTAGCGATGTTGTATGTGGAAACGTTTGCATTACCACTGTTTGACTGAAACCATATAACTGGTATTGGTTATTAAACAGAGGGTATGGAGAGTAATTTCTTTCAAAATTATCTAAAAACATATTGTTAAAGTGGAATGGTTTGCAACATTTTAATGCTGGCAATTTTGGCAACTTAATAAAAATCCTGGGGGTGGGGGGAGGGACTGCATCTATTTCATCATTTTAAATTCTTTACTGATCAAAAATCCTCTCTAAAGGAAATTGTTTACAAATGTTATTCTTATCCCTTAATCAAGATGAATCATTGGTTTGCCCGACTGTCATCCCCCATGTCTAACAAATACTGTTATTGTCTGAAAATATTAACATGCCTATTTTGCGTACGTTGTCTCTTGGTTGAACATACTATTTTAAAACTGGATCATCCCTGCTATTTATCTGTTCCTTTATTATTCCATTGTGGGTGTATGTATATACTAACTACAGGTAAACTTCGTTTGCTTGAACTCGGATCGCCCAAATACCTCCCTTCGCTGGAACACATTGCCCAGTCCTGGCAAAATTTCTATATAATATATATTGGTCTACCTCTGATCGCTCGAACACCGATCGCTTGAACTCTCGAACCTGATCTCTGGTCCCTTCGGTAGAAATATAGTTAAAATCACACCTTTTCGGTCGAACACTGGTCGACATGTTCTAAATAAGTGACAGCCAGCGACACATGTTTTTTACACCTCGTGATCGTGATAAAGGCAATTAAGGTTAATTGATGCAACATTAGAGGTGTTGTAACTGATTTTGTTTGTTTATTTGCTGTCTTTATTAAAGATAAAAAGAAAATAACTTGTGAAATAAGTGAAATGTGCAAGTCAATATATAGATGACGTTTACCCGGACGGCTTTAATTACTGCCGTAGTGCATGTAACGTGAATTTCTATAGAATGATACTTGTAATTGTGTTTATTTTAGTAAAAGTTTTCTCAGCAGCTACTTATCACAGCCTCTTGATATATGGCATACAGCATTAACATGTGGTCCCATACGTGGAATTCGATTTCAGGTCTGTCGCTCATCCACTTCCTGTTTGCCAACTTAGTTAAATTTTCGACATTAATGGTCAATGGTAGGAAATTTTCGTAACAGTTTTCTCAGCATCTACTAATCCAACCTTTTGATTTTTGGTAAACAGCATCAACACATGGTCCCATACTGTGGGATTTGATTTCAGGTCTGTCGCTCATCCACTTCCTGTTTGCAGACTAAAATTAGTTAAATTTTCAAAATTAATGGTCAATAGTAGGAAATTTTCATAATAGTTTTCTTAGCAACTACTTATTACATCCTTTTGATATTTGGTATACAGCACCAACACATGGTCCCATACTGTGGGATTCGATTTCAGGTCTGTCGCTTATCCACTTCCTGTTTGCCGACTTAGTTAAATTTTTGGCATTTAAATGATCAATAGTAGGAAATTTTCATAACAATTTTCTCAGCAACTACTTACCACAGCCTCTTGATATGTGGTTCACAGCATTGACATGTGGTCCCATATTGTGGGATTCCATTTGAGGTCTGATGCTCATCCACTTCAGGTTTACCGACTTGGTTAAATTTTCAACATCAATGGTCAGTGGTAGAAAATTTAAGTAACATCACAGCCTCATGAATTAAACAACTCGCTATTGAAGTTTTTAAATGTCTTAACAGCATTTCTCCTAAGTATGTTCAAGAACTTGTTAATGTGCGTTCATCAAATTATAATTTTAGATACCAAAAAACTTTAGATGTACCTAAAGTACGCACAACCAATTATGGTAAAAAGAGTTTTCGCTTTGAAGCATCTAAAATCTGGAATAGTTTATCTAATGATCTAAGATGTACATCTGACTTAAATGAGTTTAAACAACTAATTGAAACATGGAGTAATGACAAGTGTGCCTGCTCTATGTGCATCTAATCGTTTATGTTCTATTTTACTTGATTCCTGTTTTTTGCTTGTAAATAAATTTAGTCTTTTCCTTGAATTATGTACTATGTATCTGTATATATGTAAAACCCTGTTAATAGATATGACTATATTTTCATTGTAAATGCTCAGATTTCATTACAATGACTATATAAATTAATTGTATGTATTTTTATCTTATGGTGTCTGTTTGTTTTTGTTTTCTTTGTTTCTTATTATCATTTTCTATATTTTGTTCATGTCGGATACAAGCTTAAAGCTTATGTTTTGTACTGTTAATCATAACCGACTATAAATAAAGTTTGTCTTACTGTCTTACTGTCTTATGATATTTTGTATACATATGCAACCCGGCCTTTTCTGTCTTTGACCCATTTTTAATAAAATGTGGATTGAATCACAAACTTTCTGCTTGTTAACTCTCTGCACTCCACTGAGCTATTCTGTCTTATCATTGGTGCATGGTAAAAATAACATTTAAATAATTTTGATACAATGTAATTAGCAATTGATTTGTACTAGTGATATAGTTAAAAATAATACAACGAAGCACTGAAATATGTATGCACAATGGACTTCTTAACATTTTCAGACAATACTTGCAGCGCAAACATGATAGTTACTAAGGTGTTCAAAACCAAGTTTAAACAAATAGTTACCGTTACTTTTGATATTAAGAACATTGACTTAACAGTGAGTAAAGTTGTAAATTTTCACATGCACTTCAATTTTGCCTGTAATGTTTGTACAAGAAAGTCATTATATTTAAAGTGGTTCACACTATAATATGTACTGGTATGTCTGTTTATCTTTCTTGCCATGTAGGTTTTACACAAACAGTACCATCTTATTTCCTACAAAACTTCTACAAATAAAAACTAAAAACACTCGAATGCAATATGCGAGAACGCTTGTATAGAACTACAAAGTATAGAAGTGACAAAAAAAAAATAATTCAAATTCAATGCCAAATATTCGGACTAACAAACAATAAATTATCAAATATTACAGATTTAAAGCCTGAGTTACAAACATACGTTTCTCTAAAGAATCCTTTATATAACCATCTTTGGCTGAATCGGTTTTCCACCGGCCGTGCCTTTTCAGACAACGTTCAGACACACCGGATGCATTAGCAACAGTGCTGGCCCCACTGGCTCTTAAAGAATGTGTACCTAAATTACTATTAGGTGCAATTAATCTCAATTTGGACTTAATACATTCTCTTGTTCTAGTATAACTTAATTTCTTATTCTTATTAATGAGAGATGGTCTATTTTTTGACCTGAATGCTGGTTTGAATAAAAAATCATCCGATGACAGAGATAAATTTGCTTTTGAAACATATCTTTTTAACATATCTATAGGACAAGCAGACGACGTTCCCTTAGAAATTACAATTTCTGAACCGTCACGATAAATATCAGTTTTACTTTGAGTAACCTTAACTACTAAGTGATCAGGATTGAACAGAATATCCTTGCAACGCAAGTTACACACCTCACCTATTCTCATGAAACCAGAATATGCTAATAATATCATAGATAAGTCTCTAAGATCAATCACATCACATGAATCTTCATATTTGGAACATAATGTCTGTAACATATCTGAAGATATAACGTCTTTTTTCTCTACAGGTTTTGAATGAATACGATTTGCCGTGTTTAATAGTAACTTCACAGTATTATTTTCGGTTGGATCGTCCATATCGTTCATATTGTGAGCCCATTTGATACCGTAGTTTGCGCTAGAAATGACATGGTTAGATTTTCCTTCATCCAATAAATGTGTAAAGTACATGGCGACCGTAATTGAAAGAGCTGGCAATGCAGATACATGCTTTTGTTCACAAAAGTTTTTGAAATGCGCAAAACTTGATTTGTATTTTGTCACTGTATTGTCAGATTTTGATTGGACCAAATACTCAGCCATATGATCTGCTATTACGTCATCCTGTATACCGGCAACATCCATCTTTCGTTTCAGATTGTCTTTTAGGTTAATACCTGTTAACGATAAAGTATTGTTAAAACAATGTCATACAAATATAATAAACTGAACATGAAATTAAGGTATACACTTCAAAGCCAACATATCAAAAGCCAATGGATTTTTTGAAAAACAACCGTTTTTGCCTTTTCCTGGCCAAATAACATCTTTTCTACCAAGATTGATTATGCCTTTAATAAACTTTCTATGTTTTCCCGAGTAATCAAATAAACAAGGCCAAAAAGGTGCACTTTTCCAAAAAGGAACGACTAGTGTGCAGTTCGCACCCTCACACATAATTTTGTGTATACATTTTACAACCAGCCTAGGGGGCGGAACTAGCCAGTTTACGTGATGTTGCCAAGATTCTGACAAAGCGTCAACACCATCGGTACCCGGCACCCACCAACGTGAATTAAACTTAATGCATTTATTATTTAAATGTGATGCAAATCTATCTATAGAATATGGTCCCCATATATGATTTAAATATTGAAAGACATACGAGGAAACACTCCAATCATCACAGTCATAACATCTGCTTAGAAAATCTGCTCTTTCATTATCTTCCCTCGGAATCCATTCAGGGCAAATTACTATATTTTCTTTTTCACACAATGTGTTTAATTCTACAACACTGCTATGTATATTTTGCGTTTTACTACCATTTACTAAAACGGACTTTACGTTTTTGTTGTCTGAGAAAACCTTAACATAAGCGTTTTTCAAAATATTTGAATGCGAATAAATAACTCTGTTAACTGCTTCTGTTTCACGCCAAGTCGAACTTAATGACTGTTCATATTCAGACCATTGGCCTACAACCTCTGAACACGAGTCCACTTCCGGGGACCGATTAACATTTTTACCAGATATGCCATCATTTTGGGACATTATCGGACTTGTTTTGTCTACAGCCTGAAATTTTTTCATACTTATCTTGTTTGCTTTATCCGCTTCCGGGGAACATTTTGCAACACACTTACTTGCCTGGTCCACTTCCGGGGACCATCTGATAACTAAATTACTAGCAGTGTCCACTTCCGGGGACCATTTTTTCGTAATGCTATTTTCTATGTCCACTTCCTGGGACCATTTTGTAACTATGTTATTTGCTGTGTCCACCCCCGGGGACAGACTTATAACTACGCTACTTGCTGTGTCCACTTCCGGGGACAAATCTAAAAAATTCACATCCGGGAACAAATCTACTTTACCCATACTGTCTACTTCCGGAAACGATTGCGACCTTTCTGTTAATAACTCACCCTGTGCATCATGTGAAAAATACTGACTTAAACATTCACAATGTATCATACTGCTTGATAGCTTTTCTGAAAAATTTGAAAAAACTTCTGCTTTCTCTATGTAACCTCCATAGCCTACATCGCTGGCGTCTATAAATACATTATACAAACACACATGATCGTGTTTCAAATTTTTACCTTTTTGGTTCAATAAACGAACGTTTTCTTTCCAAAATATTAGCTCTTCCAAAGCTTGAACGGAAACTAAAATGCAAGCATTCCAGCTTGCCCTTGAATTAATACATTTAAACATTTCCCTGGTCATTAAGCGTACTTTATTTCCTATAACGCTTTGTAATGAAATAATGTGCCCTACAACACCGGCTAAATGCTTCACAGGAAGTAATCTTTCTTCGCAGCACTTAACTTGATAAATGCAAGAATCAAGAACAGATTCAAACCTCTGAATTCGTTCTTCAGAAATAAATAACAAATTATGTTCCATATCTAAAATATGGCCTAACCACGTGACACATCGAGAAGGTAACCAGTTGCATTTTTCGTCTGCAAGTAAGAAACCGAACTCTAAAATAGTTTGTTTTGTGTACTCACTAGATTTTAACGCAAGTTCATAATTTTGATCGCCACCGATTCCGTCATCTAAAAACATGATAATTCTATGACTTTGTGAACGTAAATAAGCAACTACTACCTTCAATACTTTTGTAAAAATGTGACCTGCTGTTTTGATGCCAAATGGTAAAGAATTAAAAACAAAGTATTTGACTTGACCTTTTTTCGAATATGAAAAACCTAAGTAAGTCCTGTGCTCAGCAAAAATATCAATGTGATGGTATGCCCCTTTTAAATCAAAAGTAAACAAAAAAGAATTTTGTTCAAATAAAGCCTCTGCCACTTTAATATCTTCAAATTTTATTTTAAATTGATGCAAACACGGATTTATGTGTCTACAATCTAACACTAACCTTGGTTTTCCTTTTCTGTTGTATGCTACAGTGAGAGGATTTACTACATGTGGAATTACTTCACTTCTAGAAATAATGCCTTTAGACAACAAATTCTCAATTTCTTTTTCTACAAACTGTAAATTTTCTCTTGCCGATTTGTTATTTCTTAACACGGCTCTTTCTGGAATGTCTTTAAGCGGCAATCTATAACCCTTGTTAATGACATCCGAAATATACTTACTGTCCGTAGCTTCTGACCATTTCGAAGCATGACGTCTCAAACGCCCTACAGGGGATAAAACGTCATGAATATTGTTCTCTTTTACCATCTGAGAATTATTATTCTCAGAGATATCTATGCCTTCTTTAAAGACAACCGATACAGTTTCTTTAGCATTTTTATCTGCAATTAATACACTAGTATCACAAAAAATACTTATCTTATTGTTATTAAAGGCAGAACTGACAGGACATTCCTGTGACCCCTTCCAGTGTCCCGGCTTGCCACAAGCAAAACATAAACCAGGTGGACGACGGGAAGTTGACTGTGAAACCGGAACTGTTTGGTTCATGACAGCAACAGGCGGTTTCCTCTTATATGGATGCCGTGCTGAACGTGCTTTCTTCGCCCTTTCCTCTCGCATTTTCTTGTTGGCCCGTGCTTCGGCTTTCAAGATTTTCTTCTCGTCATCAGACCCATCAGCCAATGGGTTAGCCTCGTATTCGTTAACTAAACGCCAACCCATGTCCGACCCGTCTGCCAATTGAATCAATTTTTGTCTGTGTGCTACCAGCTCTTTTACTAAAAATAAACCAAAACATGTGAATTTCGACTTCGAAAAAATATGCATACATTCGCTTTGTACGTTATCAAAAAGAATAACTTAATTAACTAAATATTTCAAAAATCCTTTTCATAAATACTGTAAAAGGAATAAACTATACAAATTTGAATATACAAGATAATAAAGATAGGTTAAAATATACCTCATTTGTGTAATGAAACTTGAAATAAATGATTACTTAATCATTTTCTTTTGCAGTAAATAACTTGAATAACAAACAAATCTAGACAGAAATATCCAGACATACCGATATATTATTCAATACACGCATCCAATTTTTTTTTAACTACAAATAATATTACATAGTCGTGATTCATGCAAAATATTAGTTACACTGTGATAAAATCACCGTTATATTTTACATCAAGCGTTACCTATAGAACATTCCTATCTGATAACAGTGAATCACTAATCCTGTGTTATACAAACAAATTTGTAATTCAATGTCTAATAAATGTAATAATATTTACCTTCTGCAATCTTTTCCCTGCTTTCGATAATTTTATCGTTTTGCAACATTTTGTCTGCAGAATCTAAAGCAGCAGTTATCTTACAATTATATTTGTACTGCTCTTCGTTTGACTTTCTTTTAAATTTAGGAATGCCAGTTAAAATGGTAGAAATCTGATTTAAATGTTCAAAAGTAGAATTTCCACTTATCTTATCCAAAAGTTTCTCCATATCAGAAAGCATCGACTGCTTAAGATCTCCCAAGGTATCTTTCAGTCTGTCATCTACTAACCGCTGTACTTCGTAAGAATCCATGTGTGAGTGTCCCTAAGAGTTGCTCGCTAGAAACTGATTTCCGAATATGAAAACCCCGATTAAATACAGCTCGAATCATTCGAGCGAACAAAGAATGTACATAAACCGGTTTTGTATTAAAAACGCTAGTACAAAGGTACTCATCTATACGTTGTAACGATGAGTACCAAATATAAATGGGAGGTTTACAAAAATTTCTTTGTGCAAAATTTCTTATTACTTTTGAAACTGTGAATTCTAAGCATGAAGATGTGCCATTCTACAGTAAGCTGTTTTACTAAAAAGGATACAAAATTTAATGAAGGTACAAACAAGAAAGTTTTTTTATAAGTTTTATATTAATTTGAATACAATGCATGTTTGGCCTGCCTTTCTTTTTTTTTCAAAAAAAAATGTTTTTTTTTAACAGTATACTGGTATATATGAAGTTAATATATAAAAAATGTATAAGAGAATAGAAATTTCTACCTGTAATTTTTAATGTGTTCCCATACTTGGATAAATCATTTATTTTACCCAAATACATTCAATCATGAATTAAACTATGTCCGCCCTTTTAATCATATTAAATACAAAGTCAGTACATAACTTCCTGGTATAGGCAATATTTTATGGAAGTGCATGTAGTGTGCTCATTTTTATGACTGTTATATGATGTTTGGGAAATATATACAGTAATAAGTCATTAATGTTTGACATGTACCAAATACCTTAGTAGTGACAGAATGAATACATTGACACACATTGTACTTTAATAACACAGAAGCTTACAATGTAATATCACTATCTGCTGTTATTCGGAGCCTTAATCTTAAGGTAAAATGTTTATTTTTATGGATTTCTCAAATATCAATCTTTTTCTTTTGAAAAACAACCTTTTTATAATTAGAATAAATGTTATGTATTTATGTTTTATCATTGAAGTAAAATGACTTTAAACTATAATGCTTCAAACTAAATGCTTATGATTTGAAAGAGGTCTCCAGGACTGTGTATATTGTATATAAATCATGTTTGAAAAAAAAAGCAGTGGTAGATTTAAGATGGAAATTGTTAAAGATGACCATAATTATATGAATTTATTTGGCACCTTTGCTAGAATTGAGGACACTTCCGTCAAGGCAATGCTCACCAATATTAAAATATGTTGCTTTTTATTTGTACTTTTTGTCATTCATTCTGTCATTCATTTTACATAGTAGATCAATAGGTTAACAAAATCATTGTACCCTATGTTGTGAGCCGATACAATTCAAACATGTGTTATTTCCAATCACTGAACCTTTTTTTGGGAGCCTATATATTAATATTTACTTGTACCTTTCTCGAGATAACAGGAAGTAGATATGTTTAAAGATTGTGTGTTAGAAAGATGGTTAAAAGTTTCATCATAGCCTTGTTGTTAGATATGCTAAATAGTGGTTGAAGCAGCTTAATTAATTAACATCAAAATAAATTAATGTTTAGGATGTTTATTTTTGTCAACTTACCTTAAGTGGAGTTGTACAGGTATTTTGTAAAGTTTATTCACTTAAGTTAAATGCAAAGATATAAAGAATATGCTATTGCAGTGTAAAATATACATGAGAGATAAATGTTCTTAAAGCTGAATGATATAAATTCAAAATAGGAATAGCTGCAGTAAGGAGATTTTTTTTGTTGTGACTGCAGAAAATGCATGCTAAAAGTGAATGCAAGACATAGGAGGAGTTATTGTTATAGTGGAATATATACATTAGTGTTAATGTTTTCTAGAATTTCTGTGACTGACATGAATAGGTGATTCTTTAGGATATGTAAACATGCTTTATTGTTAACTTAATTACTGGTATGCAAGATATAGTTTTGCTAACATAATTTACAAATTTACTGTCATACTGTGTGAATTCTGAAATATTTTACAAAGATAAAATTTCTTATATTTTGTTCTAGTGTTAGGTAGTTTAATTTGCAAAAGTATATTTGTCACCATTTCATGAACATAATATACATAATAAAAGTACAATACCAGGCCTCTTTTTACTTATGTAAAAGTTCAGACTGCCTTGCTCATTTCCAATGGCAAATTTCAATTTCCTAATCAAAGGACAAATATTCCCAATTCTAGATTAGAAATTTACACACTACATGAAAACATCTGTTAAAAATTGAGCTATCTGTTTTTATTATATAAACAATTTATTTATATAAACAGTTTATTTAATAAAGATAACCCCATAAGAATGATTGTTTATTTGCCAAGTTGATACTTTGTATAAAAAAAAACAACAAAAAAAACAACATTTATGAAGAGGATTTTCCCAAATTATATGTTTTGTCTGTCAAAAACATTTTTCTACTCTGAGTTGGCTTATATTGTGACTCAAATTGCCCCAAATTTCTTAGGCACAGTTCCCCAAAATAAGAAGGAGAATGCCGAGATACTTTCAACAAAACCTGAGTATATTTTGAATAATCATTTATTCATGTTTAAGATATAATCTCAATGAAATAAACACAATATTTTAATATCTCATATACTAACCTCCCACTGTTTTACTTACAACACCTGAAGCCTAATTGAACAGTTGTGATATAAGATATTTTATATACTAAGTATTGATCTTACTTGATTCTGTAACAACACTGTAGCTCTTCACCTGCTATAGAGACTTAACAGACAGACAAGTGAAGAAAGATACTTAAACTCAAATAAAACAATTTATTGTTAAAATTTTGATTTTTATACTGCAAAATTGTATTTATTTAGAGGCATGGACCTTAAATAACTTTAACAAAGAGAATTATATGTTGTTTTTTTTTTTTTTTTATAGAAATAAGGACTAGAATTTTTTGTTATACATGTAGTCTGAAATGATTAGAACAGGGAATGTAGAGCAGGAAGACAAGTGTTCCTTTACATGCATAAAATTAATTTATTACATGCTTTTCTGTGGTTTATAGAAATATATCAGTGATATAAAACTGGTAATTTCACTTTTTGAAACAGTGAAATTACCACTTTGATAATTTCACTGTTTTGAATTTTAGCCCCTTACGTTGTTTCAGTGAAATGCCAGCGTGCACAGTACTGGGTACCAACTGAATGACGTGACGTCGTAAATGACGTCACGTTGTATTATCATTTGGCGCACTTTTCATTCGGTATTATGTTTAATGTCTTTTTAAAACGTTTCTTTGCATATAATAAAAAGAAAATTTGTTTAGTTTAGTGAAAGATCGAAATATATTTCACCTTGTGAACACCAAAAGTACATATTTCACTCGTGGCTGCGCCACTCGTGAAATATACCTTTTGGTGCTCACTCGGTGAAATATATTCCGATCTTACACTGAACTAAACAAATATCCTCTATATGCATAGCAATGATACAAAAAATGTTTATGTTTAAGACACACTTAAAATGTCAAACAAAAAAATCCTTTTCATCATACTTGAAAGTGATGCAGTTTTATTTTTGTGGAGCCTGCTTGCGAGGATGTTGACATAGTTGTCTTAATAACGGTTCAATGTATATACATGCATATGTGTGTTAGTGAATGCATCTGTCCATATATGCTTGTCCGAGTCATAGCTCTATCATTGATATTTAATGGGCAGAATTTCAAATAACTTAGCACAATGTTTATAATAATGAGATAGCATGTTGTGCGCAAGAACCGTGTTACGTTGTAGCAAGGTCAATGGTCAAGGGCATACTTTAAGGTCAGATGCAAAACAATGGTCTCAAATAGAATGTCTACATCATAACTATCACTAGCTGGTGGAATTTCAAATAACCTGGCACAAATGTTCAACATCATGAGATAGCATGCCGGGCGCCCGATTAAGTAGGTCATACCTAAAGGTCAGATTTGACAGTGGGCTCGACATGTTGCCCTTGGCCATCTTGTTTTATGAAGTTAAGTAAAAACAAAAGTGATTTTACGATACTATTGTATCAAATCAATTCATTAATTCAGTGTACCTATATTATTATACCACTTTCTAACAGACTGATTGATAGTTGATAGGTCCATAGATAACATTTTTATGTGGGAATTATTACTTGTTTATTGTCCATTGGTAATTATACAGTATGGTTTGTCTTATTCAGAAGATATGTATTTTGCTTGTTCATTCAGTAGTCCATAAACCTGTACACTTGTTATTATTCAATATTTGGCATGGTCATTGTGTACTTTATTGGTTTGGAGATAGTTTGTGAGGAAATAATGAAGGTGGGCTGAATTAATTAATAAGGTTTTGCTGGAATGTTTGATAAAAAATTTTGGCTAAAATATTACAGATTTTACTTTACTGGACTTTAAAGTAGACATATTTAAAGTACTGGTATGTCACTTCATGTTATTTTTCTGCACTTATTTTGCAAGGTTTCAAATATGTAGTGTATTGGTAGTTTACATATTGTATTTGACATAAAAGAGCCTGAATAAATAACAATATTATTAAAAAAACCATTGAAGCACATTTTTTTCACAGCTAAAGTAAAGGGATGTAGGGGATTTTCCCCATTCAGGAAGTTAGGGTGTATGTTTTTATCAAATTAGTTAATTTGGCCATGATTGATAGCAAGGGGAATTTGTAATTAAGTGATGGAGATAAACCACCTCCTGTCATCTTGTATTAGCTAAAACTTGTAAATTTATTTACATTTTTAAGGTAGATAAGAATAAAACATTTTAAATGTGTTTAGAAATAATAATGACTTGCTTATAAATAACAGGGTAAAGCTAGCTTGAAAATTCATTGCAGTATATTCCTCACTTTAATGATGGGTATGGGTTATGGCTTTATTCACATATTGTGCAGGGACTAGGAAGTTGAGTCCAGTAATGTACAAACAAGATTCACAATCTTTGATACCACCATGTTTTTACTTTTAAGTGTTGTTGTTTATAAACTCTAGAATCTTAATTATATAGGGGGGGGGGAATTTTTGTAAAATTGAGTATTTTCACCAAGTAGATGCTGTATCAGGAAGGAAATATTTGGAGATTTATACTGGTATCTAGGTTACGGATCTAAATGGTATTTGGATGTACATTTTGTTTTGAGATTGTGAATGGTATGTATGTATTAGAACAAGAGCAATGATGACGTATATGTTTATATATGTATGTAAACAGTAGTGAATTGACAAGGTGGCAAGGTGGATGTATTGTTGTTGATATTTAGTGAAGCATGTGAGATTTATAGTATATACCTCTTAATAGTGTTATCTTAAATACATCTTTCTTATATCTTAAATAAGTATAGAAATATATTCGATAAATTTTATACATCTCATTTGGATTTCTCTATTTACATTACTTTTGAATGATGAAAATAAAGGGAATTTTAGTACATTATTGTACAGATGGGATTTTAAGCTTTTAATAAATGATTTAAATGCAATTATTATAAGTGATATTGTTTAAGAATTATTGCTTCCTAGATTAATGGATATACATGTGCATTCCTTTTGGACTTTGTGCCTAGGTTTAAGTTTGTTTTAAAGTAACTATTGGTTTCAGCAAGTTCTTAGTAAAAAAACAAAATGGCTGATCGGTTAAAGAAACTGACACTATAGTACAATACGATTCAAATCAATCCCGCTGCAGAAGCTTAATTCTTGTATTTTAGAAATCTTATTCATGTAAGCATAGGAAAGGTCGGTAGATTTACTCTGGTGCCAGTACATTTGTGTGTAAAATGTTGCACCTGAGGTTTTCTTCTGCAATTAATTTGGGTCATATGACCATTAGCTAATAAGACTTAAATAAGGAAACTTAAAGAAAAATAACAATAAAAAAACAGGTAAGGACCATAATTTAAGGTTCTCTCCATTTATCCCCTTTCCATTTATGTAGAAAATGTTTCGCAAAAAGTTATTTTAAGTCATTGAAAATGTTTGATGCAAACTTTAAACTAATTATTGATATTCATTTGTGTTCTAAATTGTCATTAATTTTTATCCCTTGTCAAAATTTTGCGACACCCTCTAGTATAAAAAACTTGTATCTGTGTCTGTAAGGGATATAAATTTTAGTACTTTACTTAGGATGACAGCTTGATAAGTGTTATAATGTATGTAAAGCAGATGAACTTTGGCTGTATTTATGCTACACATCTATAATCTATCTTTTTGATCTATTCATAAACTTCCTCATTTATATTTACAGGGGCTACAATGTGTGTTGACTTTATCATTAACTATTCAAACAAGTGTAAATTAATAGTCTGTTGACATTCAATATCCCTTTTTAAGATAACATAAATTATATGTGAATTTATTCTATAAAACTGTTCTAAATATGTTGTTTAGAAAGTTGTTGTTTCATTGCTACTGGTTTTATACTAATTAAACATGCCACAATTGCAATAGATGGATAAATTTATATATACCAAAAAAATACAATTATTAAACTTTTGATAAAGTCTAAACAAACCAGATAAACGGCAAGAGTTTTGAAAAGATGGAAATTCTTAAGATCCCTAGGAGAATGCTTTTTAAATTAATTTATGCCTATTAACAGGCAGAATATTGGGTTGCTAGTCTACCTTTTATTGTTAGTTCTGTATTTTCTTAGAGTTATTTGAAATTTTAAGTCTATTATGAGGAGGTTTAAATCTTTAAGCAATATTGGCAGGCCTGAAACTAAGCATGAAGTCCAGCCATGTCGTTGATTTGCTGTTGATTCTTTAGTTAAAGTCAGTTATGTCCTGAAATCTTCAAATAATCTGCAGTTTCAAACCTACACAGCTTTTCCAGGAAGAGGTTATTCAAAATGATACAAAATAATTACAATGTACATGTGTTTTTAAAAAGAATACCAATATTTGTGGTGATTCAATGGAAATGATGTTGACTATCCTCTGTTACATCTTTAAATAGAGAACTTAGCATATAAAACTTATTGAATGATGCTGAATTGTACCATTTGATATGAAGGCTCTTATATTATATCACAAAACTATTAAGATTTGACTTTTACATTCTGATGGTATATTATGTATATGTTTGTATATTTTCAGAGAGACAAATGATGGTAACGATACTGACAATGATGTTTTCCGCAGCGGTTCTGAATCTCCACAATTTACACAGTTCACTTTGCCGGTCCAGTCCGACCCAAAACAGCGGCGTGCCACAGTGAGCGGTGGTTCCCCCACACTTTCACGACCTTTGTTAGTGATCGAGGACATTGATACACCTAGCAGACCAAAATCCTTCACCATTGCAACAGCATCAGGAGTTATGCCTCATGAAATCATAATTAACTCCCCTTCTGGTAAATCTTTTTCTAGACAAATAAAAACATGCATAATTATGTTTGCTTGAACTGGCCTTTGGTTTTTATAATTGGCTAAGCTTTTATAACTCCTTAGTTTTTGCATTGATATAAACAATATTCAGGCATTTTAAAAAATCGTCAAAAAATTTACGAGTGCTAGTTATTGATAAAAGAATATAATTTGTGAATTGATTTTTGTTCCTTATTTTATTAGAAGTATAGTAAATTGTTTAATAAATATAATTTAACATAGTTTTCTTAAAGTACTATTCAAATATTCAAGTAGAATTGTTGGATAAGCCAGTGAATGAATATTCTTCCCTATATGTAAAAGATATCCTTGTGACAAGCCTTTAATGTATTGTGCAATTACTTATAGATATGTACATGTATATTATATTTATTTATACAAAAAGTCATTTTTTTTTATTTTGGCTTTTACAAAATGAACGTGTAAAAAACATATTATTCTTTGGAATAAGTCTGACAATTAGTAACAAGGAAATTAATAAAATTGCATGTTGGGCCGATATAAAATCTTTATGTTATAACTTCATTACTATTATGTGTTTAATAAATTGACGGGATAGAATATTGTTGCAAAGGGAATATCTGTAGTTGTATCAATCTTATAACTATGATTTGATTGTAATATTTAAAGTGTTATCCTATATGAAGTATGTATACGGATTAAAATATCTACTTAATTAATTGAAGAGTCTCAAACAGTGTGTTGAGATTTTTGGAATAGACCAAAAGGTGTTGAGGAATGTTTAGAAAAAAGCAAGGATGATGTATTATGGTATATATTTTGTTAATTACAATATAGTTTATGTTGTCATAAGTTTTACTCACGATGTTAAACAGCGTACTTCGAAAAAGGTATCTTGAAAAGCATCTCACATCTTCCTGTATACTCCTTGTATGTCCTTTACAATTATGATGTGACTTAAAATCAGACAAAAAAAAACAAAAAAAAGGTATCTAAATTTTTATGATGTTTTTTTTTCTTTGCTTTTCAAAACATGATGTTATCTTATACATTTGTACTTTACTTTCAGGAGACAATCTGACAGACCTACAGAGATTAACGTCTGCTGTAGAAAAGAGACAAGATTATAAGACAAAGTCTACCCCTCCTTCTCTAGAATACAAACCAAAGAGCAACGCTCCAAAATTGGAATTTAGTGTTCTTAAGCCTACACCAAAAATAGTGGAACCTAAAGACAGTGGTGAAAAGGTGGCAGATATAGTTGACAATAAGGAGATTGTGGGAAATAATGACACAGCTAAAGACAATTCTGAAAATGTTACTAATCTTGATGTTAGTGAAGAAGTAAAAGCAAAAGAAGATTTAGATAGTGGTGTTGAACCTTTAAGTGATGACATGACATCAGAAAGTTTATACGAGCGTACAAGTCAGTCGCCAGAAAGATTGTTAGACAGTTCAACAGATTCTGTTCCTCCTAGTGAAAGCTCTATGGAGTCGTCACAAACATGTACTTCATCTTTGGAGAGTTCCAGTCACTCTCCACCATTAGAGGAAAGTTCCCTACCCAGCAAAAGGGTAAGTAACTCTTGTAATCATAGAAAAAGTACTCTTATGAAACTCTTCAAATTTGAGGTATTATTTTTACATGGTTTGAATTCTATTTTTCTTAAATGCATGACTACCTTTTCATTGTCATAGACTTATTTTCTTCATTTATAAACTTACTTTCTTTGGGCTGTTTTTTTTTTCACTTATAAAATATGTAATATGTCATGATTATTTTCATATATTGTTTCACACCTTTGTTCTCATTGCCATGACATTGTAGTTTTGGGTTTGAAAACTCTTATAAGATAATATTTCCCAGTAAATAGAGTTTTGAGAGACTTGAGAGACTTGTCATGATTTCTCTTTATCAGTTTTAAAATAAATTTTTTTATATTTGGACAATTCTACAAAGACTCAAAACTTTATTTTACTACCATCTTGCATACAGGTGCTTGCATTTTCAATATGATTTAATTGAAATTTTTGATCATTTGTCAGAAAATGTCTGTCTCGGAACTGTTTGTAGAGAGCTCTTTGCTAGAATTGGTAATGCAGATTTATATATTATTATTTCACTATTTTATCAGATATACAGATATTGATATTTGTCACCATACTGCAGGTAAAAAGTAACTGGGGATCATTTTGACATAATTATGTCAATGCTAAAGTAAATTACGAAACTGTTTGGTCTTTATAAACTCAGTTCTTGTATTTTTATGTTTGGATTCTATAGATTAACAATGGATAGCTGCCAATAAAAAACAGCAAAAGTCTTTTAAACAAGTTCAACAAGGTATTAGTTAATATAGTTAATTTGGAAATGATAAAGGAACTATTTAAGTGAACACCAAATTAAAATACTACTGGGTATTTATCTCTATTACTCATTCAATTGAAAAAAGGTTCTGCAGTATGGTGCAGTTTTAGCTTTTATTGCCATATTTTCTAAAAAAAATTATTTTAATCCCAAGGGCTTCTCAAACATTTACCATCTGACACCGTGTTGTTTGACGTCACTTTTTTCCTATTTGTCCTAGTTTACTTGATTAGTTAATGTTCTCACCCAGAATAATGTTTTTCATATTTTATGATTTACACATTTATTCATGAAAAGAATGTTAAATTGGATACACACAGTTATAAAAGAGCGCAGTCATTGTAAAGACTCAGGTACTAAAAGAGCTGTCATGATAGAAACATTATTGATGGTTCCTCAAGATTTTTCTGTCAATCAATAATAAGCACACATTTGAAAAAATCAATAATTTTATCAAATTATTAAATTAAATGTCTAGAAATTATGAAAAGACATATCCAGGTCTACTGCCGTTGTCACATAATGGACATATGTCATAACAATGATGACAAAATATGTTCCGGAAAAAAATGATGCATTGGGCATTTAATATAATCAAGACAAATCATAATTGTATGAACAGAACATTTATTTTACTGAAATCATGTAATTTAAAACATATATGAAAGTGAATAACAGACAAGTAATTATTGGTTGATTGTCAATATTTGTCATCCAATATTTATATATTGTTAATACACTTTGCACTGAATCATTGACAGCTCTAGGTACTGGTACTAAAATGGCTTCCTTATCAAATGATAGGTCATGAAATTTGTCATTTTAAAAATCGTAAGCCCATCAACTACGCTTAATAGCACCTCAGGTCATCCTAGGTTTCAGTCTTGGTGTGTCCTGCACATGTTTTTCTGTACTGTGTTATTGAAGACTGAGTTATGTCTTAAACGTATGGGAAAGTTGGCAGTTCCTTCAAGCTTGCAGTTGCAAGGGGGTTAATCCATGCGCGCGCATCCTTAAAGTTCTGATACCGCGAACACTTCATCGGCCGGTATTTCGAAGAAAAACGAGTGGTCTGAAGAAATCAGAAAAGGTTATGAACTTAATTTGTTTTGCAAAGAAGATGTCCTAACTTCTAGTTTTTATATACAAAATGTCTTGAAGTAACTCTTTCCTGTTTTGTCAGTATTC